TACTATCAACAATACAATGGGAATTAGGATTGATTGGATTTTTAGGAATTTTTTTTAGTTTTCTTTTTATGTTGATTTTCTGTGTAGGGTCATACAACCAAAGAGAAGCAACTTCAAGTATGGAAGTTATAGAGATCATATCATGAGAATAGCAACTGATTTTTAATTTATATTCAATTCTAATTTATGTTCTATATAAATTCTCTAAGTTAAATAATTAATTAAAATTATTATAAAAAACTTTTAATTTAAAAAATTCCGCTTTTTTTTCAAGAAATACTTTGAAAAAAACACATATCTAGTTTTTACTTATTTTTTAAGTACAAGAATCAAGGCTAATATTAATTATTTCTCAATTATAATTTTTGTAGATTTTTATCTGAATGATAATTATAAAAAAACATTATATTTATGATTATTTTTGATATAAATAATATGTTACAATATATAATCACTAATAACCACCAGAATGTTGTTGGAAAGTTTGATATAAACTTATAAAACTTGATATAGTTCCTAAAATAACTGCTTTTTCTTATGAAATTGCTTTTGTATTCACATAAGAATAAGACACTGGAATGTCTAGACTATATTTTACTAGATTTTATAATATCTAAATTTATCTAGCTTTTATTTTATTTTTAGGATCTTTTTGTGATTAAGCCTTTGAGATTTCTTATTGATTAACTTTATATTCAAGACATAAAGTCATAAACCATCCTATGCATTCACCAAAATAAAATTTTGGATTAATCTCTTTGGTTATTAATAATAATTTGGCATTTCTACATAATCCAATTTAACACATCCAAAATATTAAATCATTAATATCTGTAAGAATAAGATATGTGTAGAATAAAATATCATTTAAGTTTCTGAAGAATTTTAATTCATTTTTGCTTTATTATTATTTGATTTTATTAATTAGAATCTGTATGTAGAATGCTGTTCGTGACCATCGTAATATCTTAAAATATTGATTTGCAATACTCTTCTAGTCATAGAAAAGTGTGAACATATAATATCAACTTTGTTTTACCAAATCTTAAGGCATTCCCCACTTTTCACTTTCCTTAATAAGTGTAATTTAAAGAACCGTAACACAAAAGTATAAGTTCTAATTACAAAATTATCATTACCTTATCATTCTATCTTAACCTAAAACTGTAGAATTAACTTTGTGTATCTTTTTTACGGTTCCTAGAATCATATGATCTAATTATTATAATAAATAAATTTAATATATAATTATATTCTTAAATTTTAAATATTATTATATAATTGAATGAAATAAATTTTATATTTGATAGAATTAGATAACCTTACAATTATTTTTTTAATACACTTGAATATAATTTTATCTTTATTTATGATCCTTTAAAGAAAATTCAAACATTATCAAAAAAATATTAATAATTCTCTTCAAGACCTACATAAATAAAAACTTATTCAAATAAGAAAATATAAAACCATATTTAAGTTCTTATATAATTTTTAATTCTAAATTTACATGAACTAGCACTTTCTTGATATTATATTATCTTGAGCAAATACTCAATTTTTTATTTTTAGCTCTAATTTGTTTTACTCGATTTTCACTACAGTATTAGGTTTTCTTTTTTTTTTTAATATAAACTCCTTTAATTTAATCCTTTTTATATTTTATAGAGTTTATTATGTTGATTATGGATATACTTTTGGTCAAATATCAGATTCATTAATCTTAATTCGATTTCTTTCCCAAAAGTTACTCATTTAAAAATTATAATTTTTCATCTTTCATTATATATTTTTTATGCAAAATATAGAAAAATATAAAAATACTTTTATTTCATAAATTTTTTTATGTTTAAAAATCTACAATAAACAACGCTAGAATCAAATATAATTATTTTAAAAAGTGATTATAGTTTTCTAAAGTACTTTTCTTTAAAAACAAGAGAAAAGAGTATTTTTATTCTTAAAATTATTCATCAAAAATTATTAAATTCTTTAACCTGATTATGTAAATTTTGATAGGTTCAACAATTGAAATTTATTTTATGAGTAATTTTTTCTAAAGGTCTTAAATCAAAACAATAGTATCATTAAATTCAATATTTATAATTTTCTCCAAAAATTTTATATATTGTCAATAAATTATAAGTACAACTTTATTATTTATCTTAAATTGCGAATTGTAATTTGTAATCTTTTTTTTGGAGTATGGTGAAATCTTTACTATTCACTCTCTTATATTAAAATATAAATGAAGTTTTCGTTTAATGTTTAACTTAAATCTATTTAAGTCTTATTTTATACTAAAAATATTAATAATCAAATCATTCTGAATTTTCCATGAGATGTTCAATTTTTCCAATTCTATCATTTATTTAAATTTAATTTTCAAAATAGTATTTCTCTTTCATCATCTAAAAATAGCATCAATTGTTTATATTTACCTACTAAATTCATTCTTATCAATATTTCATTTAACTCTTACTATACTTTTTTGACATAATCATAAACTCTGTTTTGAGAATCAAGCTTATCATTGAGATAGAAATATCTCCTATATTGATTAATTTTAATTTGATCTTTTTCAGATTATGAAATATATTGTAGTTAAAATAAATTAATTATAATATGCATAATTAAACAGCTTAAAAGCTATTATTAAGCAAAAAATTTTCATCTCAATCAATTTTAGTAAATTCTCAATTATTATTTAGATATATTAGAAATTTTAAATAAAATAAAACTCATATCCATTTGACACTCCTAGGCACTAAGGAAAAAATCATCCGATAAAGACATAAAGATCAAAATTTATTAATGTTGATGAACATTTTGCAAATTTATATAGCAGTTTGAAAGAAGAAAATCAATATTTAAGAGAATAGTTAAATCAATTAGAGTTAAAAGTTCTAGAAGTTAAAAATATATAATATTTAATTAATTAATTGATTTATTTAGTAATATAAAACAGCTATTTTATTAACATTTACTTTTAAGGGCACTTTGAATAATAATTGGTGAATAGAAATTTCAGAACTATAACATAATGTCATTTTCAAATGGATTTGAAATTATTTATTAATCAGACTTTCAATTTTAAGATCAAAGAGATATTTTTTTAATAAAATTTAATTAATGCAGTCATAATATTAAATGAGTCCAAAATCAACTCCAAAGAATAGATAATAATTTCAAACCTGTTTTGACTATAATGAATCACCATTTTTAAGTCCAAATGCAGAATCTCTTGAATAACCAAAATACAAAGTTAGAAGCTTAAAACCTAAAACAATTCTTGAAGGTGATCTTGCTAGAGTGAGCAAATCAAGAAATGTATTATCTACAAACAATAATGAATGTGTAAAATGCAAGAATGAGAAAGGGAGTTTAGCAATTAAATTATGTCATTGCTTAAATATTAATTACCATATCATTTGTATCTTAGATTATGCTAATCTTCATCCTAAATTAGGACTCAGTTTATTTAGATGTTAATTTTGTAATGATTACTTTCCAATATAAATCAATGAAAAGTATAATATTTATAAACTATTAGACTGAGCATATCTAATTTAAATAATAAAGAAAAGTTTGTATTTTTAATAGGTATGTCATTATTAATTTCTTTGATTGCACTAAAAATTGCGGCATTTATTATTCTAAATCTAAATTAGATTTATCTAATTTTATTGATGATATTAATAATTATTGAATTATTGATATTATTAATAACAAGCAGTAAATTTTATCATTTATGTTACTTAATCGAATATGATATAAAAGAATACAAGATTGGACAAGAATATAATTAATTTTAATTAGAATCATTCACTCTTAAAATTGTGAAATAACTGTAGTATAAAAGAGCAAAGAGAGTAATAATCGATTAAGATTAATGAAAGTTCGGATGTTTATTATCATTACTGCTCATAGATTTATTGAATTTTATAGTCTTTTCAAATTTCTTAATAAATCGTTTATTATATTTATAATTGCTAAATAAGCTTAGCCTTATAAAATGAAAAGTATGAATATCGGACCAAAAGTCTTGCTCTAATAGAATTAAGTTAGACAACAAGATGATGAGGAGGATGTACCTGAAGAACCCTCCCCGATTTAGATTAAATAAAAAATAATAAAAGTCATCAAATACAATCAACCAAGATTTGATGTTAAAGGCAGACAAATTTTTAAAGGCACTGGTTATGGAATAGCTTTTGATAATTTTGTCACTGTCTGTGTATTTAATCCTGATGAAGAAGTACTGTCAATTAAGGACACAATTTCTTAATGTACAAATACTCAAGAATAAGAGAAGTTTCATATCAAATCAAGTAGCAATAAAAAGATCGAGAATTTTCAAAAAGACTTAATCCTAAAATCAATTCTTAAATAGACTAAACCACATCAATGAAAAATAGTTTGAATTAAATTTCTTTATTTAATGTTTTATTATCCAAACTATGCTTATAAATTTATACTCATTTAAAATTACATTTAATCAATAGATTTTCCAAACACTCATTCCTTTTTAAAATTTCCAAAATTAGATATTTTTTTATAATAAAATTGAAATCAACAATGCAGATTGTATATTAAAAAATACTAATATATCCTATTTCAATTCTAATTTATATTAATTATTGAATAACAACTTCTCAATTTAAAACTAGAAGCTTAGTACTTGGCTTTGATATTTAAATTTAATCTAGAAACTCATGATTAAAAATAATCCAATAAATTACAAATAAATAATTTAGAAAAAGAAATCCTAGAATTCGTTTCTGAGCTATTAATCAATTTCTATATTTTGGAACTAAGAAGTTATTTGAGCTACACACAATGATTTAATAATAGTGAGCTAAAGAATAAAGGTATTTTTAATCATTTCCATTCATTAAAATTAAATACAATAGATCTAATTAAAACAATTAATTAAACGAATTCTCCATCATATAAACTTATTTTGTTGAAGTCTGCATTCTTTTATCTTGTTTCAGTAGGTAAATTCAAGTTCTAACATCCTTGAATATAGTACTTCAAAACAAGCATCCCATTAAAATATTCTTAAAGTTTAGAAGAATTTCTATTTTGTAATGTGAAAATTAATATATATACTTGCAAAATTTTAATAATAAAATCAATAACAACCTGAATAACTATGATAAGAGATAACATATTTAATCAACTTGAATATTTAATCTTAAAATTTGATTCTGATTAGTTTATCATATAGGTTGAAGTATTGGATTTAGATTTGAATTTTTACTAAATTATCCTTAATTAGGATATAAAAACTTGAACAAAAAAAAATTCATATCCATATTATTTCCCTAAATGATATACTCTAAATTATTCATCAATTAAAAATTTAAAATGTAAAGAACATTATATTTTGAAAATAAAATAATAAATTCTTTAATGGGTATTTTATTTTTAAGAAACATCATCTATTTATTACTAAAGAGAGAAAATTAAATAGTATTAGAAACATTTATTTTGAATATCACTTTAATTTTTAATTAAAAATTAAAATATTATTAAATTTTTATTTTTCTTAGTCCTAAAGATTTTTTTATTCAGACATGTTCTAATTAGAAATTAGAGAAATTATGTTTAAATGTTATTTTCCAAAAGTAAAATTTAGAAAATTAAATTATCTGGAAAAACTCAATATTTTTAAATATACTTAATTGAAAGTAATAGTTATAAAAAATCAAATAAAACTCCTCTCTGAAAACAATGAAATTAGTGTATCAAATACATCAAAAATTTTTCCAGCTCTAAAATTTCAATTTTATCTCTTCAAAAAGGTCAAATTGCAAAATGGCATTCTTTATTTGTTATAATAAGTTTGTCGTGCTATTTAGAAATATACAACAAATTGTGTATTTTTTATCTCAATTCTAAGCACTCTCCAAAAATAAATGATTAATAATATTACTCTTAAAAATTAGATATAATTACTTTAAATCTTTAATACAGATTTTTCATTGAATCCTTAAAAAAATTAATTCTTAAATATAAGCTTTGTAAAAAAATTTTTAACAAAAAAAATAATTTTATTAATTTATGATTTATTATTTTGAGAATATCAAAATTTTAACTTTAGATTATATGATTAAGCAATTTATAAAATTTTAAAGAGAAATTCATTTACTTTTTTATTGTATGATTGAAGAATTCATATATAAAATATTTTTAAATAGTAATCAGCTAAGTTCTATTCCAATAAATAGACAAGAACTATAAACTTTCATTCTAGAAGGCTTCAACACAATTTATATTATTGAAAAAAATAAGTTTAATTGTTCTTGTAAATTAACAATGTTTTATAAAGGAATAATAAATCTTTAAACGAAACAAAATAAATTTAATTATTATGAAAATAAAGATCTATACAATAAAATCTAACCATGAAAAATGAATGTGAGAGTTTAGTTCATATTTAAATGATAGGTTAATCATCAAAATTAAAGGCTAGATATGTAAAGATTATCAAAATTTGAAGATATTTTAGAAATAAGATAAGTTAGAAGTTAAGAGTTTGAAGAGATGATCATCAGATTTAAAATTTAAATGAAAATGAATAATTATTCATGTTAACAAGAATATATATATGGAGCATATGGCAAATTCAATTATTGGTATTTGCTTTATAAATGCACTGAAACTAATAATTAGATCTATGAGTAACGATTATGTGTTTATTTATTTAATAAAAATGGGGTAATAATTTTTTTAATGAAAAAAATGAAACAGTTAAATTTATGTGTAGAATAATAATAATTTATATTAATTTAAATTAAATTTCTTTTATAATGGGACTTTTGAAAATAATCAAAAAAACAAAGGAGAGAGAGAAAGAGATGAGATTGTTAATTTTGGGATTAGATAATGCTGGAAAGACCACAATCCTGAAAAAATTTAATGGTGAAGACATATCCCAGATATCTCCTACATTGGGTTTCAATATTAAAACTCTTAGTTATAATGGGTACAAATTAAATTGTTGGGGTAAGGAATTAAGATGAAAATAATCTTTAGATGTTGGTGGTTAATAGACAATAAGATCATATTGGAAGAATTATTTTGAATAAACAGATGGGTTGATATGGGTAGTAGATTCTACTGATAAAGC